TATATATATATATATATAAAGAAATTGATTGTGTACTAGAAACAAAGTTCACAATAATTGTAATGAAAAATTTGTGCAGGTAGCACATTTGATTTTTTTTTTTTGTAAAAATATGAAAGATTACAAAAATAGTCGCAATGAAGATTAAACCTAGGTCCTCATGCTTCTAATTACCCAAATCCCTCCCCACCAATCACTAAACTAACCCTAGTGGTTAGTAGCACATTTGATTAAAAACACACTATATTATTGAAAACAAAATGTTATGAACATATACCTGAATTTCAGTAAAGTATAACATTTCTTCTTCAATATTATGTAGACTATTCACATCGATAGAGTCAATTGCTACTTTTATATATATATATATATATAAACTCTTGGCAATGAAATTATATATTTCTCTTATTTTTCAAAAGTTTCAACAGAGAGAAAATGTGTATCCTAGGATATTTGGGATTGCTATCTTATGGATATACAATGCAATTTTTAAAATTTCATTTGATTATTGTTAGAAATAATTTTTTAGTAGAACAAATTAATTTTGATAAATAAAATATTATCCTTTTATAATTATTTCAAATCATATTTAATATATATATATATATATATATATGTGATTGGAAACAATTGTGTCACCTTTTATTTTCATTTATAAATAGTTTTTTTAAAAAAAACATTTTGAGATAATAAAATATTTATTCTCATTTGACTATTGTAAAATATTAAAAACTTGCATCTATTATGTGCTTAATTCTCTTTCACCGAAATCTCTCTTAACTATAAGATGTTTAGAACAATTTTCACATTAACTAAGAAAATATATTATTCATGATATAAATTTGGTTTGGTTCAACTTATTATTCAACCTAATGGAGGTATGTTTTTGCAGGATGATGATGAAAAGTTTCATTTTTTTGCTTGGGCAACTGAAGGGAATGAGTTGTCATTTTCAAAATATTGTTGGCATGGAGGATATATGCAACGAAGAGATGTTGAAGGCAAATATGTTTTTAAAAATAAAAAGTGTAGGAATGGAGATTAAATGTTGAAGCATTATATATTTGTTATGCTTGCAACAATAGTAGTTTTAATTGTGTTATGGGGGTAAGGAGTCACAAGGCATAACCTTGTTTTTTTATACAAGTATACAAAATTGTTGACCTATATTAAATATTATTATCTTCTATGTGATTTTCTTTTTTTGTGTTTTTTAAAAGTGACTAAAATTCAAGAAATATATACATCACATTATTAGACATTATATTCACCAAAATGTAGATATTGGTAATATGATCGCTAGAT